AGGATTTTTATCCTGTCCTTGAATTTAGGTGTTTTCTCTTCATGTTGGAAGAGTAGTTTCCTTATTCCTATTCACAAGAGTGGAAGTAGACAATTTGTTGAGAACTACAGAGACATAGCCAAGTTGAGTGTTTTGCCCAAGTTGTTTGAGCGAATTGTGACTCAGCATTTTTAGAAGAGTAGAACGAATTTTTGAATTAAGGCCCTAACATTTTGATAAATAAGAGATAATGGGCCTGAAAAAATATTTAGTTTTTTGAAGGCGACAAGGCTATTGCTTTGATATTATGGGGACGGTCTCCTGGCACAAATTCCTTAATCAAGGATCCTACTGGCCACAGTGGTTTGTTTAACAACATATCACTGTTTTCAGTCGGAACTAGTATTTTAAAAGAGGAAATTGCCCTAGATTGAGAAGGAGCCATTATGAAAATGCTAACGCGCTTTAAGTTGACTGATGGGACTTTCGCCGCCAAATAACTTTTTATGTTATCCACTGATATTTCAGGTGCCAGTCTTGACACAAATATTGCTTTTCTGGGAGGAACTGCCGTCAAGCAAACATCATTAGTTGGAACAAGAGGGTGTATAAAAGAACTTCATAACTTCACTCAACACGTCTCACGTCTCACTGCTAACATATCTATATGATTTGTTCATAATACCACAGCTCAGATGACGTTTCAAAATTTCATGAGATTTCGACTATTTACGAGCTACAGTTGTTTTTTTAAAGCCACTTTTGTTTGAAGTTTTCAAACGATAGAAAAATCTGAGTTTCGCGTATTCATTAAAAGCATATCGATTTTTAATGAGAAAAAATACCATTCAAGCGCAGTATTGGATTGAAATGCGTGACAGTAACTGTTCGGTATAGAAACCAATAATTTATCGTAGGATTGAAAGGTGTTATGATCACTCTTCTCCGGTGAAAACAACAATTTATCAATGGCCTGAAGACTTGAAACGAGGTCGTACGAATCCCAGCAATGCTGGATGCTCTCATCACTCGAACTTGTCGGTTTGTTCCAAGAAACAACATGCACAACTTTGTTTTGAAAGACGGTAAAATGAAATTGATTGATATGACAGCTCCGTTCGAGCTTTCGCCTTTACTCACTTTTGACAACTTGTTGATGATTCGAAGCGCTGTTTAGCGCTGTGTAGGCGAAATAAAAAAAATTTTTTCAATGAATGAAACATAAATTGATCACTATTACTATAACCTGTGAAATAGTGATCGCAATGTCACGAATTTTGACACGCATCATTTGACTGAGTTTCTAGAAATTAGATGTTTCTGTTAGCCCTACTGCCATGTATGTGTCAGTTCGGAGACATATTGGGTGATTTCAATTCGTATTCGTTGCTTTTGATGTTTGGAAGGAACCAAAGCTGTCCATCTCTATTGTCAAGAGCAGTGTTTTTACGCGATCTCATAAATGAAAGATATAATTTGTTTTTCTCATCTTAATAAAGTCTTCTCTACAAGACCTTTCGCTAAATGTGGATGCCTGCTTTGCATTCGGACATAGAAAAAATTATAAGTTTAAAAATAATTTATTTTGAATTCATTTACCATCTACTTGGCATAGGAAAATAACACTAAGTAGCTTATCTTCAATAGTAATAATAGCATTATTCCAAAAAAAAATTTAAATAATCTTGAACGCATGCAGCAAAAAAGTTATTTATAAAAAAATTAAATTACGTTTTTGTATTTTTCCTTTCAGGTAAGCTTTTCATGAAGTTAACCATAGCTAAGAGAAGACTTGACTGTAGTAAGCTAAGTAATGCAAGTACAAAAGTAAACAGTGTATATACAATTTTTCGCGACCTTCTAAGAACTCATATCATCAGATATATATTAACATTTTTTCTTTTTCATTATAGTTCTACTACTGTTACTGTTATTATTATAACGTATTTATTTTTACTTTTCATCCCTTTTTCTTTTTTTTCTTAATTCATTTGATTGGCAATGTCAAATCATAATCTGCACCTTCGTTGAAAAGCTTTGAATTTTACGTTAAATATAATTTTGCTACAAAAATATAGAAATCATTACGAATGGTTAAAAACAAAGTCTTGTTTGCGTCAAAGTTCATAACAATTCATCTCACGACATATGGATAAATAAGTTTATCATCATCCTTAAAGTTGCTGTTAGTATTATAAAAACGGCGAAAGATTTCACAATGCACACAAGAATAGCAGACAGAACAACTACACCAAGAGGATGAAATACTTCTTCAGTTCGATGTGCATTACGAGGTCGTACCACTAAAAATATATTTTTTCATAATTAAGTTTTGGTAGTGTATAAAAACACGCAGATAAAACTTCTTTAGCGAAAAGTATTTCTGCAAGGTATTAAGCTGTTCTACAGCTCGTGTAGACGAGTAAAGAAGACTACCAAGTCAATGCCCGTGAGTTCAAATCTCAGCACGGTATTGTTTGCTTTGAACGTAACTATAGCCAGTCGGTAAAAGCGTAGCACTTGTTGATTGGATACACATCCATTGGGCCATCGTCTCTTTCTTTCTTTCGCTTCTCTCACTTCTTTTTGACCGTTACGCAAATAGTGGAATCTCATGAGTGATTGATCATGCAAAAAAACAGATACGAAAAGTGACTATTAAGTGGACGTACTCGGCTTCAACACAAGGTGTGCGGTCACTCTGACTAGTGAACAGGCATACGCTTTTTAGGGTGTAGTTGCACTCCACCTTTCTTTCTGCCTGATCATCATTTTATTTGTGTACGTCTACGGAATATCCCTTGAGTGACTCGACGCAAAACTCATCGTCGAAAGAGAAAATCTATAAAAAGTAATTTTTTGAACAAACTCTGACTCTTCATCAAAAAGTAGCCATAAAATTCAACAATTTCAAGTAACTATTTATCCTTTCATGCAGTCTTAATGACATATTTATTTTTCTGAGGGTAAGACGTACATAATTAGAAAATAACGCGAGAATTTGGAACTGCCAAAAAAAGGAGACAATCTTTTTCAAATGTTGTTGCAATCTACTACCAAGAAAAGCATTTGTACTATCATAGCATTGAAACCCATAGCAGAAGGCATTCTCGATAATCTACCACTTTGAATACTAAAAAAATACCATGAACAATTTTCTTTTTCTTCAACTTTTGGGTTCACTTCTACCACTACAAATTTGTGCTCAGCAGAATTGAAGAGATTCGCAGATTGTTGGTTGGTGGACTAGCTCAAAGAAGAACCTCTATAATGAGAAATTAAATTCGCTTTTTTAAGACACAGTCGGTATCACTGGATCGTGGATATTCTGTTCAAGAGAAATACACTACAAACTTCTTTTATTTATTATATTCCTTAAAAGTAGAATTATTCACAATTTATTTTTGGCAATACTTTCGTCTGCTCAGCGCAAATATTCTGTTTCTACTAACTCTCCCTTCCACAAATATTCTATTTATGTACATTTTTACAAGCATAGCATCATTGTTAATCCCTGTCTGCTTTTCCGCTAATCGTCTTCATCGACCGGCAGCTGCATGACGCGCCGCAAATGTGCATTTGGTTTTTACCTCTTTAGGGAATTTATTATTTTGGAAACTTAATCAGCTGGAATGAACTGGATTTGGGATTTCTGTAACAACATTTTCTTCAAACCTTCGCCACAAAATTAGAACCACCTGAAAGTCACTTTGAAATCATACCACATGTTCTTCTGTTAAAAATTTTAGACCTTTTGATCGAAGAATAGCAAGAATTTTCAAATTGTATATCAGAGCGATTTTTGGTACTGTGTTCGAAAAAATATCTGCAATGCGTGTCATTGGTTGCAGTTGGAGCACCTACTTCATATTTGTAGAGGGAGCAAAAAAGTCCTAGCTTAGTGTATTTTTGCTTGCTTTTAAGAGAATAATCATCGAATTATTGCACAATAATTTGTGTTAATAGTGTATTTTAGTGAAATAAATCACTGCAAAGGTCGAAAAAAAATTTTAGCGACTATGTCAACAACGTACTTGCAAATAACACACACATGTCCACGAACACTGGGTAATCTTGAAGTTAATAAAAAGCCTGAGCAACCTAATACATCCATAACTGAAAAAAATTGCTTGAAAAGTTAGAAGCTCATAAGATTACTACCGTCGGGGTAGTGGTTTTCGGAGGTTTTACAAATATTTAACGAATGTAAAACGAGTGAAGAAAATTTGGGCCGAACATGTTGCATGTATTTTCAAAGGGATCATAGCGAAATAAGAAATCTTCTTCATGTAGCAACTTCTACATTCTTCAAATCCGACTGTTTCTGAACTTTTCCTATTTCGAAAACGACAATTAAAGGAAAAGTTTTTCGTTAACTGTTAAGGTTAAAGCAGAAATTGTGGAACCAATTCAAGATTATGTGGGAAAAAGCATTTCATTAGCACTTCTTTAACTGGAAATAGCGTAGGCGAATGTGAAATTAATTAGGATTAATTGTCCAACCAGTTTATCTCTCAATAGATACCGCAGTAGATTCTTATTGGCTCTCCATTTTTTATAAAATTGTTGCAATCAAATGCTGTATTTTGAATGTTTTTTATAACAAAGAAATTTGAAATAAAAGCCCATTTTAAAGTATTGCAATCCTAACGTATTTCATTTCATTAACCAAAAAATACACTTTAATTTTCATTACTTCGTAGCAGCCTTAAACAGATTATGACTGAACCTTATATTTATTACATTCTATATACTTTACTCACTCTCATAAGATTAATGTAAAAAATAATTAATTCATGCTTTATCATCTGTTGCAATTTTAACGTGGCGATTACGTATTCATGTAGAAGGATTTAACGCAAAGAAAAGAAAACGAAGTAGCACATTTTCATTCGTCAACATATTTGTATTTGCTAGAAGATCCACTGGAGTTTCGCTTGAATTTAAATGAAATGAAAAAAGGAACGCAAGAAATTTATTAATATATATAATTTTTTGATTATTTCATGTTCTCATTGCAGTGGCTATCAATACGGATACCAATGGATGTAGGTATCTTTTATAATGTGCTTAAAAAATCTTTAACAGATATTTTAAAGTAGAAAAATGAATGTTACTGATATTATATGATGACATCCTCTGGCTTCTTCCCATATTTTGATAAGTCGTTCTAAAAAAAAAAATATTTTAATTTTTAAAAATACACAAATTTTTAAAAACCGCTTACAGGTGGTATTTCGGCATCCTGAGTTGGTGTGAAAACTTTGGATCGGATGTGGCCATGTTTCAAGACCCACTCCTATAACCGTTGCTATGAAAACTGAATGTTTACATTGCAAAGAGGTATAATTTTCAATATTTCATGGTGAAAATTAGTTCGTAATAGCAAATTGATAAAGAAATCAATTTTACCAAAAGTGAACCAAGTACGCGTACTTTTTGGATATCACCAAATGTAAGGATTCCCAGGAAATAGAAATCCTGATATGCCAAAAAGGCCTTTATGATGCAAATTTGTTCATGATAGTACTTTGGTACGAAAATTGAGCGAAACAAATTTGAAGCACATGGATTTATTTCTTGAACCGCACTCCATATAAGATTTCTCATGCTTAGTAAGTCCTGCAGAAAAAAGTCTAATTTTAATTAATTTATGATGAATTTAGCAATTTAGCAAAACAAATTAACGGCAGGGAATTTGGATCGCATGATTCTATATTTTAGACCCTAACGTATATATATGGGTGATCATGAAAAGCAATCCCTTATATCGGGAAAAAGTCAATTTTTCAATTTGTTATGACCGAAACTGCAAAATAATAAAATTTGTAGAAAATAAATTAAGTTTGCTAAATTTGGATTAAGCCATGTTATGTTTAGGACTCCTCCAATATGCGGTCTTTCGAGAGAAGTATGCCTTTGCGCGAAAATAACATGTAACTTTTGTAGTATTAACAAAAGGGGGAACTGTACAAGGTGAAGTTGTGTAGGATATCTATAGGTTGACTTTGTCCGACTATAATGTCCTTACTTATATCGAAGTTGACATTATGTATGCTTTATTAATCTAAACGATGGAACCGACTTTACCGCCGCGGATATGAATGAATAAACTTGTCTATCGTCTCCTAGACGTCGGCACAAAGTTCAAATCTTTATTTAGAAAAATAAACTTTACCATAAGATTTTCATATTTATTTTTGCCCACTTGAGTTCAAGATCAACCTAAGCAACCTATGAATCGATAATTGATACAATCAGAAGTAATTTTAAGTTTTTCGACTTCGTTTGATAGTAGCTCTTCGTGTATGTTTTTACACTTTCTGATGTAATAAGAAAGGTTAATAAATTATTTTAGCTGTATGAGTTTCGCTTGGGGCAACTGTATGAGTAAAGTTTATTTACTTTTAAATTAATTCTTGTGACTATTACATCAAGAGATTTTACTAAACTAAAACTATCTCTCTCTTCAAATTTGCCTAAATTCTCAAATTAATTCACTTCAGTTTTGCAGATACTTTTATACCCTACACCGCTTATGATAGAGGGTATATTAAGGCTGTACGAATGTATACAACACCTAGAAGCATTTGAGACAAATCCAGCTCTGAATGTATTGATCTATTCAGAATCATTTTGTGAACCGCTTTAAGCTTACCTGCCGATCATATGCTAATGTATTGGCATCTAATATTTTAAACTGTACAAGAGAAGAAATGTGCAGTATTTTAATCTAACTGAAGACAATGAATATATGATTTACTAACAAATTAAAAAAAAAGGGATTTTATGACAAAATTTTCTGGCTAAGAGTAAGGATAATACGGTATCTTCTGGTCAAGATAATACGTACTTTTAAGACAGGTTGATATTATCCTTTGCAACTGCGGATAGTTATTCAGTAAGTTTGGTTGGTTTTTCACTTCAAATAATTATGTTCTCCGGCATTTGTGGCATAACGCTATGTAAAGTTTACACCAATGTATGCGACGTCCCCGACTATTTGAGACAGACGTACATTTTATTTAAATTCACTTACTACATCGATTCTAGTCTCTAATGCCGATCCAAGTATTTTAAAATTCAAGTTGAAAATCGTAACTTTCGAGAAATTATAAGGATGAACGGTATCGAAAATGTACTGAACCGAAACTCTTTTTACGGCCGGCCTCGTTACAAAACCTGAATTTGAAAACGTCGTTATGTGTTTTTAGTATTACTCACAAAAATCGATGGGAAGTTTTCCGTTCTCTATATTAAATAAATGCAGAAAATTTGGACGGCAAGAGAGCGTACATATATTTTCTTTTAAGAAAGTTTCGTTTCAGCGATAAACAGACCGCACTAGTTGTGGATCACGAAGGTCCATTTTTAGAGTCCTTTATATGGCGATAGGATACAATTTTTGAAGCCCAAATTAACTGTACAAGATCTAAACCACATAGGCCTGCTTTTTTAATATCACCCCACGAAAAACCCTTCAGGAAAACTTATCACTCGTACGTCAACAGCGTCTAATTCCGGACATTTTATTGCAATGAATGTATAGCAAATCGTTTAAAGTTCGGTCTTGTGCGGCTGTAGAGTTTCAATTATTATTAATTAAAAAAAACTGGTACCATCAATGTCCGTAAAGAGATTAATTAACTGTGAAAAATTGCAATAAAACACATGTTTTGCGTTGAAAATTTCTGCTTTTTTTTAAATTAAACTATTGTCGTTTTTGATACGGTGGCACACGGATTTTAACAGATCAACCGCCTCTTTCACCAAATACTTATTCCTCAAATGTACGACCCAGTGACAAATTTGCACAACATTTAGCAACAATTCAACAATTTCAAGTAAACAAGTAAAAATGTTACGTAAATCCCAAATCCAGTTCATTCCAGCTAAGTAATAAACTCCCTAAAGAGGGAAAAACAAAATAGACATTCGCAGCGCCGACCGAGGAGAATGGGTACCAGAAAAGCAGAGTAATGGATTAAAAATAAAGCTATAAAATTAGGTACTAGTAATATGTTGGCCAAAAAGGAATATAAATAGAATATTTGTGGAGAGTTAGTAGAAAAAGAATATTTGCGCTGAGCAGTCGGAAGTATTGCCAAAAATAAGTTGTGAATAATCCTACATTTAAGGCATATAATTGCAAATAAAATAACTTTGAAGCGTATTTCTCTTGAACAAAATATCCACGATCCAGTGATACGGATGGTGTTTTAGCGAATTTCGTAACAATATTATGGCCGGCAAGGCCGACAATTACAAACACAGCTCGCCCACTTACTAACTAATTAACTTACACCAAAAATTACACATTATTTTCACGCAATGACAGACTTCCCATTAAAGTCCAAAATGCCCAAGCGTTACATGACGATATTTGGTTTACTTTCTAAAAGTTTTATTATTTTGCAGTTTCTGTCATAAAGAACTAGGAACTAGACTATCATGTTATGGTCTAAAAAATAGACCTATCTGATCCAAATTCCCTATCATTAACTTCTTTGCTAAATTCCTACTAAGCAACCAATTTTCATCATAAAATATTAACAATTAGCCCTTTTTGGCCTATAAAAGTTTACATTTCCTGAAAATCCATATGTACGGTGGTCTTCAAAAGTAGACCTACGTGCTCCGTACTCGGTAAGGTTGATTTCTTTGTCAATTTACTATTATGAACAACTTTCACCATGAAACATTGAAAATTCTACTTTTTTACTATATAAAAATCAGTTTTCGTAGGAAGGGAGTGTGTTTAAAAAATTACCATACTCGAACGAAATTTTTTATACCAGTTTAGAGTGATCAGCTACTACCACTCAGCGAGTTTTGTCGAGAAGTTGTGGAAATGGAAATTGGTTCTTTTTAGGAATAGGTAAAGTAGACCGAGCCATTTTCAATAACAGTTGTCATTTGGTCAAAGCGTGTCGGCTTACTAACTGTCATTACACAGACCTTAGACAGACAGTAGGCGGACAAAGAGCTGGACGGGTAAGCTCAGACAGATTCATTAAATGATTCTGAATCGTTCGGTATAATAAAAGGTGGGTATATCCTCAGTCCTTCTGGTTGTTATATATGTACGCAAACATACCACAAGCCATACCACATTGTCATGATGGCGAACGCTTCGACTTTTTTTTTTTCATATATAGCTGTGTACTATTCAAAAAAATGACGTTACTACAATAGTCACTATAGATAAAGACAATTTGCAAAAAATAATTACGTAAAAAAAAAAAGCAAGTGAGAAAATTATATTCGGCTGCGACCGAACCTTTTATACCCATCATCGTTATTATAAAAAGAGTCAAAAAAAAAGGAAAAAAAGTTTACTTCCATACTCTATTCCGTTGGGCTGTGTTTTCCAATTTTTGCAAAATAAAAGTGGAAATTCTGCGCACAGGAACTTCCAATTTTTCTACCAAACTTGAAGCAGACCTGTTCCTTTTTGCGACCAGGGAAGTTTTTACGGCAGACACTATACAGACGGACATAAATCGGTTTAGAATTTAAGGAGTGTATGTGCATTATGAGATATCTCTGAAGCTCTTAATGCTGCACACGTTTTGATCAATTGAATATATACCTTATCAGTCCATGATGGATGTAATAAAATAGATTTGACTCGCCTGAATCGATTCATATGATTGACGTTTGTCATTGATGACTACGCTTGAATGTGGGAAAAGGGGCTAGGAAATAGAAGTAGGTAAATTTATTACCTAATAAACAGGACGTATAATTTCAGCAATATACAAAGGAATGCTCATGGGTGTTAGCTAGAGCAAATTACTCGTCACGCATATTTTTATGAATTCCACATTGTCTAACATAGTTCTTATTTATGGAACACAACAATTGTATCTTGTATTTCTTATGCAGTAAGTAATCAAAGAACTCTTTGCAACAAACATACTTAGACAGCTTTATTCTGTCGAATGGAAGTCAAAGTGATTACTCTACGGTAAAAAGGAAAACCAAATAAATTTTATTTTTAAGATAAAAGCATAGTGCAGCGTAATTATTTGTACAATCTTCTATA